TCTCTCTCTCTCTCTCTCTCTCTCTCTCTCTCTCTCTCTCTCTCTCTCTCTCTTTAAAAAAAGAGAGAGTAGAATGATTTGGACATAACTTTCCCATGTTCATATATGAATACATGACCAGTTAATCTCCATATCATGTAAAACCATAAGAATGGGATCCTAATTAGAATGTTATACTCCATGTATATGTGTCAAAATACATTCTATTGTCACAAATATCTAAAAAGATCAAATTAAAAAAAAAAAAGCTACCATGAATATTTGTGTCTAAGTTCTGTATGGGTGTATGCTTTGATTTCTCTTTGGTAAATACCTAGAAGGAGAATAGTTGATTCACATGGTAGAAGAAGATCCAACTTTTTAGGAAATGTGACATCTTTAAAAAAAAGGGGGGGGGTCACTGGAAAAGTGTCTTCTTGCCGAAGCCAAGAAAGAAGCCTCTGAAATTAGATGAGAAATTTAACAGTGACACCTCTCCAAGGTAGTTGGCAGATTGTATTATTCCAGTTTGCAGGGCAAGCCTTCCAATTCCTAGTGGAGGCACTTGCTCTATTTTCCACCTTAAAGCTCACCACCTGATCCCAGTGCGTCCTTTCGAGCACCAATAGTACAATTGTAGAGGATGTCAATAGATATTGATAACATATGATCCTCCCAGTCTTGAAATTTTTGTCAGTTTTAATTATATGTCTCTGCTCCAAATAACTTATTGATACTTATTCTATAATGGAATTCAGAAATTAATAGTTTGTCAGAAGGCACTATATTAAAACAACCTAAATTACAGCAGTTCTGTTCTTCTACATATAGAGGATGTGCACTCTCTATGCTCTCTCTATGCACTATTAGATCAGATTACTTTCAATTTCGGATTAAACATTCTACTAACAGAGTAGAATATTTGGAACTGACCTAAGGTTCAAATGAAATCTTATAAACTGAAGTCATCCCAATATCCATTCAAACCTGAATAAAACCTATTATTCAGTCTTTATTAGAATACCTATTGTCACATTTCAATTTTTGCAATATTCTCATATAGCCAGTTAGGAAGTCCGTCATAAAAGGCTGCTTATATTGATCAAAAATTTAGAGTAAGCATAGATTTCTGGTATTTTCAACAATAGGTGTTCCATCTTCCATTTGCTGAATAATTAAATATATTATAGTAGTAGATTTATGTACAGCTTTCTTTAGTAAACATATAATTAAAGGTGGTTGACATTTGTTTGCTATTTTTGCATGCAGATTAATAGCATACATGGATGATCATAAGGATTTAATTGACTTTCCTTCATATTATTTTCAATGTAAATAATTTAAACAAAATGATTTTTCTTTGAGCATCCATCCTCATATAATTTGTAGATGATTTACTCTTGTACCTGCTTGGTCTACATAGATCACAGGAAGACTATACATTATCTCTTTTCAAGATTAGCTGAAAATGGGCCAAATGAGTCTAGAGAAAAGGCATGATATTATCAAAAAACTGAGAAAATTTTTTATGTCACAATCTGTCAGCACCTACTATTTTCTGTCCTTCACAGAACAAAGAATTTCAATTTAACAAAGCACTATACTAAAGGAGGATGAAACGATTTTAATGATTGACTGGTTATTGCAAGAAATAAATATCTATTTATAATAGTTTAGACCTCTCCTGAACTTTCTAAGAATAATTTCTGAGCCTCTCCCATGGGATGTAAAAGTGAAAGAAGATTTCTCTTCTTTGACTTCTTTAACAACCTTCTGCTTTGTGTGTCGCTAATTATGTCAAAACTGCTCTTTTGTTTGAACAAAGGCAAGATGTTGCATGGGGAGTACCGACTCACTAGAAGCTTCCTATTGCCTGTTTGATAATGAAGGCCTATTTGTCATGTTTGCAAGAATCGGCAGCTGCTGTAAAATCATTGTTACTTCTAAGAACATGCAAAAATTTCTTTATTAGCAACTTTTCCATTTATGAAATCCTTCTATCATCTTTTGCTTATCACTATGTAACATTGTTCAAATCTCACTCTTTCAGATGAAGATGAAATACAGGACTATAGCAATAACTCAGGAGTTCATTATGCCCAGAACAGATCTTACACACATTCTTTTATTTATTCCTGCTTTAATAAGTTTATAGATGGATTTTGCTTTTAAAAATAATAATGACATCCCCTTTTGTTGTATTCACTGAAAATACAGCTATTAAAGCAGCTCCATTATGTGGTATTCAATCTTCCTAGGTAGCTGAAGCCTGTATTGTAACAAAAGAAAAAAGATTTAAAAAGAGTAGGTATACTCTTTTTAATAATTGTTCATGAATATGGAATGATATGAAGACCAAAAGGATTTATAAGCTCTTCATATATTTTGACTACCAGTGAAAAAGATCAATGACTTCATGCAAGCTATTAAAAACACATGATTTCTTGAGATAGAAGTTCACATGTAGACTGAAGCCTGAGGACAATGCCCTTGAAGTGTCACATGCTGAATGAGTAGCTTTACCATTAGTTTACATGTAGTGTTTCTAAACTGACATACATAACGAACAAACCTAGAAAGGTAACTGTCTTGATTTAAGCTTGCTATGGTGGATTCACTATGATAAGCTCAACCTCCTGAAAGACAAAATTGGCCAACACAAGAACTCATTTTCCATAGAGATTTCGGTGATTTGGATATGGGTTCCCTATACCATCACAATCCCTTTAATAGACCCAGGACAAATTACTTTATGATCGTTCATTTTTTGAAATAGAAAAACAGTTTTGGGGGGTTCCATGGTGCAATGGCAAGCACTTTGGACTTCGAAAAAATTATCATTAAATAAATAATGGTGGATAACAATCATAATCCAGGTTAATGTGTAATGGTAATATATGGTTTATTTCCCCTCAATATCCCTCTTGAGATTCACAAATGGGCTTTTTACAACTGCCAAAATCTTCAAGCTATATATACACATTAATTATTGTTGGTAAAATGTTTGGCTGGTTAGAAGCTCTTTCTTAACCCTACCAGTTGTTAAAATGCTATACATATTCCCAAATAAAGCAACTGATTTTATGGGAACAGTTAAAGAGAAATGGCTTGATCTCACTTCCATTAATACAAAAATATTTAACATGTTAAATATTAGCCCAATCATAAGGAAAAGTAAAAGGAGTAAATGAGATGCTAAAGATGGCATTGTCCAAATTTTCATAAACACAGTGCTTGAGCTGGCCTAAATTAGACATTAATAACCACACAATCCTCTCATCAGAACTCACACAAGCTTTCTATAAGATCATTACAAGACATCTTCTATCACTGGGAATAATTCCACTGATACTATGCTTATACATGCAGGTCTACTTAAATACTGCCAGAGACTAATCTGTTTTACTCAGTCTAAAGCCCAGGAGGGATGAGACAGCTTTTCAAAGGAAATACTCAAAACTTTGAGCCAGAAATTATGATTTTTAGAAGACATATTGTATTACTTTCCTAGGGATGCCATTAAAAATCAAGCCACAACCAGGTATCTTAGAGCAATAGAAATGTATTGTTTTATAGTTTGTGAAGGCCAAAAGCCTGGAATCCCAAACCTAAATGTTTGAAGGGTCTACTCCTTCTGAAAGCACTAGACAAAGATCTTCTTTGGGTCTCTTTTCCAGCTTCTGGAAATCATGAGAGCATAACACCTCTTGGTGTTCTTCCTGTATGCACACCTTTGTATCCAAATGTCCTTTTTCTAAAGACACTAGTCATTTTAGAAAGGACTATTCCAATGAGCTCTTTTTAATCTGATTACTTCTGTAAGTATCCTATCTCCAAAAAAGGTCACATGCTGACGTCTTGGGAATTAGATATCCAATGTATCTTTTCTGAAGAACACAAACTTATAATACAACCCAATATGAAAATGTTTTACAATATTGCTGGAAGACAATTTATGTTTCTTTTAAGGGTTCTTTGTGCAAACAAACTATCAACCCAAATAAGTGGATTTCCATTCAATAAGATCTTCAACCAAGGCTATATTTTTTAAAAAAGTCTCTAGAAGCATACAGCTCTGCCTGAAACCCTGTAAACCAATAAAATGACCATGATGTTATCTCCTGTGCCTGATAAAACAAAATAATGGTCAGCTAAATGAATTTATTTGAAAACATTTCTCTTTTAGTAATTTTGATTCTGGTATTTTTTGGTGATTTAGTCCAAATATCATCAGAGTATTGTTTTCTCTCAGCCTACTTGAGCTTAACCATATTCAGTCTTAGTACATTCAAAATATATATATATATATATATATATATATATATGTATATATATATGTGTGTAAAGAGAGAGAGAGAGAGAGAGAGAGAGAGAGAGAGAGAGAGAGAGAGAGAGAGAGAGAGAGAGAGAGAGAGAGAGAGAGGCTGGTGTTGTGGCTCAGAGGTAGAGCACTTGCCTAGCATGTGTGAGGCACTAGGTTCAGTTCTCAGCACCACATATAAATAAATGAATAAAAAATAAAGGTCCAAAAACATCTACACACACACACACACACACACACACACACACACACACGGTTCAAATTAGCTTGTACAATTGCAAAAATGGTCAGGAATATGGGGGCTTTCCTTTTAATATACAACATATCTACATACTGCAAGTTCCTTATAATTCCAGTTATGTACAGAATTCTGTGGTTGCTCTAGTCTCCACTGACTACAATCCAAAAGAAGTTTGTGAAAAACTTCTGGAGATTCTCAATAGAGGCTCAATTTGCCTGATCAAAAACCATATAGGTCAGAGAGTCTGAATGGGGATAGCATTTGTTAAAATTCAATTTTAGGAAGTAAAAACAATAACAGAATAGTTATCAAAAATGTGTCATTTTCAGCAATATCCGAAAGAGAAATATAATATAAAAATGATAGGGGAAAATAACACAAATTGTCCTTTGTGCTAGTTCCCTAGGGATTGATTTTTGAGTATTTTCGTCCTCCTTGTATTAGATTTGTGGAACTGATACTTGATGGATGTTATCTGCTAGGTGATTACTCCTAGTAATTTAGCCCACCTTATGTCAGCCTTGCAGATTGTATAGGACCTGAGACAGGGGCTGCCTCGGGAACAGAAGATGAAAAACCCAAGGCCTCAGCCTCTGACTTGTCATCCATTAAAAGAATGGTACACAGAAATGACAGAAAAACACTCAAGGCCTTAGCCCCTGTCATTCTTTAAAATTGCCACGCATTCTTTCATGTCTCCTTCCCTTCCATATTTTTCAACAATATTATTCCAAGTACCAAGACAGTCATGAGGCCAGGTGCAAAAAGACAGAATATCGATGTCAAAACATTTCCAAGAATAAACCAGATAACTATTGATCTGCATCTTTCACAAAGAAGAAATTCCTTGAGAAAATATCACATGCATGACCAGCGAGAAATACCAGACCCCAGCCCACCCCACCAACTCAACAAGGACCTGGCTCCTTCCTTTGTTCCAGGAGCAGCCCAGTCACTCTCCTGCCTCCTTTCAATGGAGCCCCAATTAAAGCCTTGCCTGTGTATGCCTGCAGTACTTGGTGTGGTCTCCTATCTGTCATTTCTAGGCCAATCCTGCTCCCACTAACAGACACGTTACTGAAGACAAAGCAATATTCCACTCATCAAAAAATTTTCATCACTGGCTCTACAGATCACTTGGTTCAAGGCAAAATTCTATTTATGGTTATATTTATAATAATAATACAAGTGTGATCATGCAGTTTCCAGAAAATCATTAACTCAAGGAACCAGTTCTATTGATAGCTGAACCTCAGATATAGAGTGACATTTAGTGACATTTAAATGATGATTCTTTGCCAAAGCTGACCAAATCCTTATGTTCAAAACTTCTCTTCTGGGAAAAAAAAAGAAAAACTGCAAGAAAGCAACTGCAGAAATTGCCTCCTAAAGCACAGCACCTATAAAGCTCAGTCAGCCTAATGCTGTAAATCCAAAGTATGGAACTCACAAAGCAGAGGAGTGCAGAAGGAATTGTTCTAAAATGAGCACCACATGGACATTCCAACCAGCCCAGTGTTTATTTAACCCGTAAATTCAGATATAATCATCTGATGGACATCACTGAAAGATTTTAATTTCCTAATATGAAACAGGGATGGTTCATAATCTTGTGGTTGTTGAAGACCTTTCCTTCTCCCTAAAACCTCTTTTATCAGAGCCTCCAATATTTGATCTGTTATTATTTAATTATATTCACACACACACCACACACACACACACACACACACACACACACACACATAGATATGACTATTACAATACAAGAATAGAGAAACTACTAGAAGAACCTGGTTTGGGTTAGAAAATACTGAGTTTGTTGGGTTTGTATCTGAGTCGGGGTCTCATTATATGTTCGCAGCAGTAGGGAAAGTCAAGAAAGTGCAACTTTAATGCCATCCCTTCCTTCCCTTTTAATATCCTTAGAACAAAAAGTCTTTTGGAAATTCTGCTTGAATTAATTACCAAGGCTGTAAGTTTTGAAGGTTAATTTTCATGCTTTAAATCTAGATTAAAATGTGAATCCATTTTAAAAATATTAGCATTTTTGTGTGACTTGTATTTTGTGTTTGCATATGGAAAAGGGTAGTTTGATTTTCTTTGGTTCTGGGTTTATGATCTGAAGTGCTCATTCACTGTCTTGAGTTATAAACAGTCACATTAACGCTCATCCCTTAGTAAAAAAAAAAGGATCAACTGCTGCTAAATTAAACTATTAATTCTTATCCCCAAACTGCTTTCAGGCATTTGATATCGTCGTTTACTAATAAAGTAATTTTAAAAAGACAAATTTACATTTTAAATTGTAAAAGAAAAGCTTACTATTTATAGAAACCCCTGGCTAACCTTGAAAAATATTTGAGAAGTAGCATTATGTGATATGAATAATCATGATTTATAATTCTGGACATTCATATGTTTTCTACAGGGTGTACTCTAATCAACTGAAAAGGCTTATGCACATTTTTTTTTTATTTCATAGGAATGTTTTGCATTAGTGGCCTAATAAAGGGGCCATTCACATGAGTCATGCCATACTGTCCATTAGCAGTAATGGAATATGCACTTTCTAGAAATCAGAAACCACTAATCTAGTGTAAAATGTGAGCATTGTCTTTGCTCTTGATTGAGACAGTTTGTCAGTTTTCAGTATTCTGCTATCCCAATAGTTACTGAAATTGAGGAACATCATTAACAATTTATGTAAAGTGCAATAGGGTCAAAAATATCTAAATTATTAACTTACATGTTTACGCTTTGACTAAGCATGGCATTTATATTTAGAGTTATAAAATTATTATTCATTTGCCACTCCTTAAAACACTATTAAAGTCTCTGAGAACCTTAATTGATCAATCTTGGTGCACACTGCAGATGACAAATTCTACTTTGGCTTCTGATACCGTGAAATAGGACATACTCTTTCAGGATTAGACACCAAAATAGTTGATACTACTTTTAGGGCTTCCTATAAATGACTCGATTAACCGTACTCATATACATTTTTTTTTTCATTTAGAATTCATGAAAGCAGAATTTTAAATGCAATTTAGAGTTTAGGACTAGAAAGAAATAAAGCAAAATACCACTTAGTTCTTTTTTCAAGGTCATACAACAATTTGGTTTCTGAGCTAGAAACAGAAACTCAGTTTCCTAACATCCATCTCAATCTGCTATATGGATAGCTCTAGAAATTTCAATCAAGACAGATGTATTTCAGTCCTTGAAAAGCTTTGCCTTCTCTGTAGTTTCACAGTTTCAGACTGATTACTCTACAGTTCACAGTGGGTTTTTTTTTTCTTGACAGTCTATGCTGGCACAGAATCTGGCCACCCTGTTGCAGCTGCGATGACAGACACAAACACTCTCCAATAAATTAATGTTTCATCTTCAACTGACATATATGGGATGACCAATATGATGTTTTTCTTGGAGGGCAAAATTAGTTTTTAGCCAGCAACATTGGTAAAGTTTTCTATACTATTTTTAAATGACATTCATCTATAGGTACACATCGAACTTTCCATATTTTAGATATTGCAGTCAATGGGAAAGTCAGGAGGATGGGAGAAACATTTAAAACCATGATAAATGTTTACATGAAAATGAATCACATATCAATCAACTGCTTACGGCTGTGTGATTTTGCAAGATAAGTTACCTTCTCTGTTCTCCAGTTGTCTGTGAAATGAGCATGATAAGGATTCAGTTCATATCTTATGTCCCCCTTCCCAACCTCCCTTCTTCCTTCTTTCCTTGTACATGCTAGGCTAGCTCTATATCACTGAGTAACATCCCAAGCCCTCATACTTATTTTCTAAAAATCTTGAGTCAAGGGGTTATTTCAGAATTAAGAATATTCAGGATTTTAGAAAGTAATTTAGTGTAGACAACACCACCGTAAGGCCTAAAGCAGCATATTTAAATAGCTGCAGCAAAACAAATTCAAACAAAGAGGGATAAATCAAGAAGTGAAAAGCTTCATATAAAGTCGGATTTCAGCCTGTGTGTTTGAAAAAACAAAACAAAGTTATCAGAGATTTTTGTCTTTCAAAATTGTAGGTAAGAGATTGCAGGTCGGAAATAATATGTTCATCAAGGGGTAACTTAAATGACTAAATGACTAAATAAATTTAGTTCATGCAAAGTACTTAAAACAGCAATTGACACATACTAAATATTTGTATGTTTGTAATAATAATAATAATAATAATAATAATATATTATGTACCTTGGTTTATTTTTGGGATGTTACATGTTGACATACTCATCTTGTTTGCAAGGAAATGAGATGCTTTATCCAAGTTTACACCAGATATGTCTTGGATGTGTTTGGCTGGTTTGTTGATGGAATTTATGTCATGAGGAAAAATTAAAAGTCCAAATTAATAAAGGCATTAGATAAAAACATACATGTTGTCAATATAAAACACAACTAACTACAATTACTTTTCTTTAATACTATGTAGCTTTATATTCTATATGAAATAAAGATTATTTTATTTTATATTGCCTAGTATTTTAAAGTTATTTTATATTGCCTAATTGATAATCATGCATAATCTAATAGTTATTTCTATTAGAGGATAAAACTCTGTTTAATTAAAATGGCAGTTATAGCCTTAAAAGGAGCATACAAAAATCCTTAATGTCAGATGCCTTCTAAATAAAACCTGTCAACATTTGAATCATCTTCCATTCATGTCTCTTTATCTCTGTGAACTTTTTAGACATTTTTGTTTCTTAAAAATAAATTTATATTATATAACACAAATTAAACTCTATCTTTCTCAAAATTTAATTGCAGAGAATTATTTTTAAAAATCATTTCTTCCAGTGTTGATTTCTAAAGACATTTTTGTAGCAATATAAACTAAGAACTCAGACATTTTGAGTTTTGGATCAACTTTGCTGAATGTTAAACATATTTTTTCCTGTTAGTTATCATATATCTCCACATGAAGGATAACTATAAGAGGAAAAAAGATGTTTAATTAGAGGAATTTGTAAATATTTAGACATTAATAATCTGATATTGTATGTATTTTGGAAGTAAAACACTATCATTATTGTTGTTTTTATAATTACCTGACACTGTGCTGAGATTTATAAATATTATCTTATTTAATTCCCCAACAAACTCTATGCTTTCACCCAGACTTATGATTGGCTAAATAACAATAATATAATAAAATAATATTAATACTGTAAAATTCTGAACTAAGACTTTTAGGTACATTCTCATTTAATTCCCTCAACAGCCCTTTGATAAAATTATTTGGTGCTATTTTACAATTTAGGAAATTATAATTCCTTGTGTCTTTTAATCATATTTGGTGAATTAATTTATGTGCAAACCAGGATTAATATATTTTATGTATAGTATTCATCCAAATTAAATTCCTCAATATTTGTTTTTTGAGCCCAGAATTTTGAAATTTAGTATACCAATTTATTCAATCACTTTGTTTTCAAAAAGAAATTATGAAAGTTCTGTTAAGTTAGTGACTCATTTTAAAGTTACAAAAATTTTAAAAGTGTATTTAAAAGTTATCATTCTAATGTATAATATGTTTCCAAAGAAAATCATAGATTAAAAAGTACCTGTGCTTATCTTTTCTTATATCCTCGTATCAAAGTCATACATAATAATGTTCTTTCAGCTATCTGGTGACCAATACATTTTTTTGTACAGTGTTAATTCTGCTAAAGAATAAATACAGTAGCAGTTTATGAATATTGCATTTTTCCTAAATGTTAGTCACAGATGAAAATGGATGTTTTTTAAAAATATGGAGAGGTAAGAACTATTAATGCATTGACACACATCTTCCAAATATTTTTATATCATAATTACAATTGTATAAGCATCTTTTTACATTATTGCATACTCTTCTAAACCAGTATTTTATTAATTTATAGTCAAATAACATTTTATTATAATGTTAAACAATAATCTCTTAATTAATTCCAAAAATTGACTCTGAAATTTTAACTATTCAAGAAAAAAGATACCATAATGAAATTTTTGTGTATAAATATTTAAACATTATTCTCATGAATTTTCCTTTACAATTTCAGGTTTTATACAAAATATATATAGAGAAATGAATATCATCATTCATGCTAAACTGAGTATTTGGGAAACATTATCATATTAACCATCATCCTAAGAATATACAGGTGAATGTTATAAAGTCTTTCTTTTTGAGCTTTTAAAACACTCTCTTGGACAATGTAAATAGTTAATTCAACAATGGAAATTAAATATAGAAAAACAGCATCACATAGTTCTAAAAAAAGAATGAAAGAAATTTTTTTCCAAACCTTTTGTAAAGAAAGCAAAAGGAGACAGAAGGAAGGTGCACAGGCAAAGTGGCAGAATAGCAGGAAGGCAGAATGGCAGAGAGGCAGAAAGGCCCTTGTCCAAGCTGACAGCTTTATTGATATCAATAGGTTACATTAGGTCACTGGCATCAGTAGTACATTATTGTTCATTGTGTCAATAAGCAGGTTACAGAGTTAGCAACATTGTGCAACTTATTTCTCACTTACACACTATAGTTGCAATGTGCATGTTAGGAGCTTTGTGTAGCTCTCAAGAAAGTCCATTGTTTAAAGTTACTGTTATGTGGACAGGTTCAGGCTCAGCTGAGCTTGGTGAAACATTGTGGTTGTCTAACAAGAAAATTCCTTTATTCCCAGGAGCTGAGTGCCTGAGATCAAGGTGGAGGCTGATAAGACTCTAGCACAGAGCCTCCTCATGCAGAGTATTGCCACAGCAACCAGGCATTGCACATGTATTAGTTAACTTAGTAGTTCCTGGGTGGAATTGCAGAATATTCCAAGTGTGTAAAACAGGGAGCCTGTTACCCTCAGGAGTTTGCTCACCAAGGAACACTGTCCTGTACATTTCCAAAGCCAGAATCCTTACACTTTTTCTTATGTTTACTTATTGAAAGATGAAAATGCTTAATTAATTTATTGGAAAGTACAATAACTTCCACCACTTATTGAAGAATGCTTTATTTTCCTAACTAAACTGACACAACAATACAGGGTATGTTGTAGTATACTTCTAGAAACTTCCAGAATTTTTTTAGAAAATTTATTAAGAATGAAACTGGAGGGGCTGAGGTTGTAGCTCACTTGGTAGAGCACTCTCCTAGCACATGTGAGGCACTGAGTTTGATACTCAGCAACACATAAAAATAAAATAAAGGTATTATGTGTATTGCATCCATCTACTAGAAAAATATTAAAAAATAAAAGAGTGAAACTGAAGGATATTGTGTTAAGTGAAATAAGCCAAGTACAGTAAAACAAATACTGCCTGTTGTCACATAGAAGCTTAAAACATAGATCTTTAAAGAGATTAGAACAGTATTTACCAGATAGTTGCAGGAGGAGAATAAAGGAGGAATGGTGGGAAGTTGGATGGTTTCCAAAATATAGGAGGAATAAGTTCTAGTGTTCTATAGCAGAATAGGATGATGATAGTTCCCAACAACCTATTATATCCTTAATGAAGAACTGAAAGAGAGGAAGTCAAAATCTTCAAACATGAATAAATGATAAATGTATAAGGACATGGTAATACTTAGTTACCCTGCTTTGATCTGCACATTGTATACATGTATTGAAATATCACATGGTACCCCATAAATATATACAATTATTATGTGTCAATTAAAAAGAAAAATAAAACTTAGAAAATAATATCATAGAAGACAGGTAGTTAATAAAATTCATCAAATATATTTATTGATTTCACATTGTTATGAAAGTACTAACTGAGGTATAATGCCAAATCCAGATAGGAAAAATAGCATGGTTCTTACCTTTCAATATTTATAATATGCTCAAGGAAGGTTTACCATATGTACAGCAATTAGTATTTTTCTTTAAGTAATTTAACATGTTTATGTGTAATGATGTCTCCATGCATTCAAAAGTAAGTTTTGTAATGTAAAATAATAATTTAAAAAAAGAATTTTATTTATTTATTTCTTTTTTTGTGGTGTTGGGGATCGAACCCATGGCCTTGCACATGTGAGAGAAGCATTCTACCTACTTGAGCTATATCCCCAGCCCAATACTCTTATTTAAAGTTATTAGTATTAGGCCTCAACATGACATTTTTTATTAAGTGCCTGAAATCTTAAAACTATGACCACACCCAACTGGTGAATTTAAGAATGTCAATTTGATGGGCAGAAGTTATGGGGGGGGGTACAGGAAGTTCTGGACTATTTTTTTTTTTTTTTTTTTTTTGCAGAGGGTGTTGGGGATTGAACCATGGGCACTTGATCACTATGCGACATCCCCAGCCTTTTTTATTCTTTATTTGGAGACAGGGTCTCACTAAGTTAGAGACTCAATAAATTGCTGAGAGTGGCCTCAAATTTGTGATCCTACCTCCTTAGCCTCCTGAGTTGCTAGGATTATAGGCCTGTGCCACCATGGCCAGATGGATCATTATTTCTTAAGTTGGCATTCTCTCCCCTCCCTGTGCACATAAATAACTATTAACGATGCAATCATCAATTTCAGAATAGTAGAAAATCCCTTATATTTGGAAAGGTCTTTCCTTGGAACACATATGTCCTCTATGCACCAAAGATACATAATTGTTAAAAGACTGTCTGGACTGAAGAATCCTTGATGAAGTTTATAAGGAAAGTAAAAGTGATTTTTTCATCCTGCATCTATTTAAGTTTTATGATTCAAAATTTTATATGGCTTTGTAAAAGTTCAAGATTCTGAGGTCCATTTTGTTCTAGCAATTGAAGAGTGTGTTGAGTCTCATAAAAGAATTGAGTCTATTCAATTCCATGGTGCAGATTATTGTTCAAAAAGGGGTGTGACTTCAATTTTGGGTTAAAGTAAATGATACAGATACTATTAAGTGAAGAAAAATAGGATGAATAAATTAGGTTTGGATCATCATATATATAATTTATTCAGATATTATGTTATTTCCTTCCCAGCTGTCTTCTGTTAGCTACTTATTTATAATAGTTAAGAAGTTACTATGAGATGCTATATTTTAGATCTTTTCAGATGACAAAACAGAAAGACTAAGATCCATGAATTTTTACTTAACTTGCTAGTGAAGCAGCAATTCACTTTAATAAATACTGCTAGAGCACAGGTAGGAGACCCATGATATGCTTTGCCCTCACATTTTACACTTAATATAAGGTTATAAGTTCAGTCTAGTATATCAATTAATATAAAGTATATAGGTAATACAGTATAGGTAGGGAGAACTATGGACATTTTACCTTGACACTTGGCCAATGACCTGTACTGTAGTTCAGGTAGGAACACCTTGGGCTATGTTGTCCTTTTCATTTTCTGTAATGTAGTTTAACATTTCTCCAGTGGTACTAATCAAAATAAATAATTCAATAAATTTATACATTCCTACAATTGAGTTGAAGTTTATAATTCCCAGGTCATAACATACAGATTGAGCTTAATATAATGCAATTTTGGTTTCTAAAATGAGTTGAGAATATATAATTTGCATTCTCTGAAGTCACAGCATGAGATTGTTTAAACTGCAGCTGGATGTTTATAGCTCCTTTTCTCCTGATTCTCTCTGTAGTGCTTTAACTGAATGTGCTACATATTAAAATTCACATCTTTTATGCTTATGTTGTATTAATGCATCTTCTCAAGCTGAGCAGTCAATGCAAAAGCAAAAACAATGTGGACATATAAATCACTTTGCTTTCCCTATATTTTCCTTTTGCTGTAAATAGAAGGAGAATGATCTTCCTAATCTGATACAAGAACCATTCCATGACCTTGATCTTCCTATTACTCCTACTCCTGCTCCTCCTGTTATACAAAAATTCTTTTTATTTAGTATGCACGGGACCACAATGCCTCATTGGAGAGGATCAGTGTTGTAAGGAAAACATATTTTAGATGTTTATTTAGTAGACAAAATGGACAGGACTTGGTATTTAGTTAATTAAGATTGGGATGCAGAGGGAGAATCTTGGATGATTTCCCAATTTATATATTAAGTGAAAAGTAAAATGAAGCTTTAAGCATGATGTGTATGGTATGTGTATGTGGGTAAGTACCTAGAAATGTTATAATATTATGCAGGATAGCCCATGGCTTCCCTACGCCTTATTTTTATCTGTGTAAATTGTTTCTTTATGAATCTCTTTCCTCATTTGTGTCATCTGTACCTTGCCAGCACCTTGACTGTACAATAATTGCTACCAAAAATGGCCCCAGGAAACAGAACTTCAAATTAGAGGAACAGATTGCTCACATGTTTGGGAAGTGCTAAGAAGAAATGGGATATAGATAATTCATGACAAGAAATGGCAGTCTTATTACTCAAGTGATCACAGTTGTTAGCATGGGATAAAGCATATAAGCAAGTCAAAGTGTTGAGAACTCAAGTAATTGTGAAAGTTAGTTTCCATGACAAAAAGTGATTATAAATTGTTGGTATTACCTGGCTTCTTTTGATGGCCCAAAAAGTTTAGATACAATTGATAAAATATGTCATGCATGGATAATCAGAAAGTTTAAGGAGCTATCTTGAATCTTCAATATTCAAGGGCCACATGGAATATGTCCAATGTTATTGAGAAGTTTCAGTGTTTTCATTCAAATGCATTCACAATTCCTCTCACTGATGGAAAAGTATTGGTGGAGAAGGAGTGTGCAGTTTTAAAATCATAAGACAGGGACACTTGAGCAGTATGGATGAGACCGAGAAATTTAATGTTCTCCCCATTTTTGGCCATCAATTTCCTCAAATATAATTCATGTGGAAAACTAAAAGTACATATTTCCTCCGATAAAAACCTTTTAATGACTGTATTTGCCTAATGGATAATTGATCTTCATAAGCAACGTATGAATGCTGTCAGATCTAGAATGAATGAAGAGTACAAGAATTGCACTAAGAAAAGACAGCCTGTACCCTCAAAGAGTTTCAGAGCTTCACAGTCTATGTTGGTGAGACATCAACAAGTATGTGTGGGAGTGGATTTGAAGGGATTAGAGCAAGGAGAGTAAAATATCAGATGTAACTGGGGTGATGCCATAGCCATGGATGCATTCACCCAGAATATGCTATTTAATATATTGGCTTACATATGTGAAAAAGGGATTAGCAACCCAAGGAGTTGGTTGATTGAAGCCTGGACTCATCAATAACCCGAATTCTATAAAGTGGAAATGCCTGAATGATGGTATCATTCTCCAAAGAAAGAAATCCAAAGGCTCAAAAATAAGAAATGTTAGAATGGATCTATTCAACCTCTTCTTATTATACTCCAAAAATAGATACTTGAGGATACTTCTTTCCTTAAGGCAATAATAAATGTGATATGTTTAGAGGACACC